CTTTGAAAAGAATTATAAGAACCTCAGAACGGAAGAAAAAAGTATTCCAAAAGGAAAAAACTTGCAACAATAAAAACAATTAAGAAGAGGCTGAGAAAATAAAAGACTGGAAACATTCACCAATTTTACAAGAACATAAAAGAACTAGTTTCAGCTTTGATTAAAATGTGAAATGACAAAGAGAGCAAACTAATAACAGATAGAAGGGGAATACTAGCGAGATGGAGGAAATATTATGATGAACAAATTAACTCTGAAAAAAGATTACATTCTAAAGAAATAATTAATTCTATAGAAATAATGAGAAAGATACATAACAGAAGAAAATGAGAGATGCAATAATAATGAAATTGATCCCACTTGGAATGAATTTCAGGAAGATATATAGAAATTGAAAAGTAATAATGCACCTGGCAAAGATAGAATTGATGTGGAAATAATAAAAAATGAGGGAGAAGTTTTAAAAATATACCTTTTTGAGTTTTATTAAACATATTTGGAAAGAAAAGATTCCCAAGGAATGGAAAATTTGTATTCTGTTTTTTCATACATAAGAAGGTAGGCCCCCTAAAAATGTAATAACTACTGTGGGATCTGTTAAATACCTCCGATAAAACATTATGGAATATTTTATTTTCAAAATTAAAACCATTTGTGCAAGAACAGTTAAAATGAGGCAGGCTTTAGAGCAGGAAGCTCAACAACATACCAAATATTTATTATCTGACAAATTTTGGAGAAAACTTACGGATATAACATACAAACACATAATCTGTTTGTAGATTTTCAAGTGTCCTGAGACAGCGTAAATAGCAAAGAATTATATTGAATAATGGACGAAATGGGAATTGCAATAAAGCTTATTAGACTGGTTAAAATGACAACGGAGGATAGCAGTTCACAGGTCAAATTTTAATCCATCCTTTCACAGCCTACAGTGATGCACTAGCCTGTCTGCTGTTTAATATAGCTTTAGAAAATGCTCTCAAGAGTCAAAAATACAGATAGAAAGTTACATATTCAACAAAAGTGTGCAAATATTAGCATTTGCAGTTGATGTGGATATTTTAGCAAGATGTAGAAAAGCACTTTTTGAAGTATCTACAACCCATTTCAAAAAAAAGTTACTGAAAAGAAGGTCATTCAAAAAGATATACGTATGCAATGGATGAGGGAGGTTTTCACATTGAAGACAGGAATGTAAGCAAGGGGGGAAAGAGTAGATAGGAAAGGGAATACTCTCACAGAATTGATGAAATGAAATTTATGAGCGAGATGAAATTTATTTATTTTAAGTTAGGGATGTGTTAAAGTTAATGATAAATATATTAGAAAGCTATGAGAATTTATTCAAAATTTAGATAAATTATATTTTCTGATTCAGCAAATTAGGTACAGAAAGGATTGGACATATCTTGTATATGTCACTGAAAGTTTATTAAGTACTACTAGATGTTTCACACAGAGGTTTTAAAGGAGCTAAGATTACATACATATTATTGAATTTCCCCTAAAGACTAGAAAGGGAGGAAATATAATCAGCATACGTACGAAAACACTGAGTCAAGAGTTAAGGGCCTGAGAAATATGGAAAAGTTGGAAAATAAAGTATTTCTTAATGATAATATTTGTATTTCATAACAATAATATTAACAATATTAATATGAGAATGTTTTATAAAACTATTTGGTTTTTAAATTACGTAAAAGAGGGATTAAAAACAAAATCAATCCATATTCTAGGAAACATTTTCGATATAAACCTCGTACTAGAAAAGTAGATATTATGGAAATTTAGGAACTGTTTACCAATTCCCAAGACCTGAAAACCCAACCCAACATCTCCTACCCGTAAGCCAACACTATATACTACATTATGGGCTAATATAGTCAAAACTAAATACATTAGGTTGCAAAGAAGATCAATAATAATGAATACCAACCACTTATAATAGATTATTTGTTTAAAAACTTTACGTACATTCTTGGAACAAAAATAAATACTTCAAATAATATCAGTGAAGAAATACAGGCAAGTATTAATGGAGCAATTAAAGAGGTTTTTTTGGCCTTCACATACACATTACATTCCAGTTGATTTCAAAGAAAAAAACTGTTGTATAAAACACTTATAACACCAATAGTAACATGGGACTGAATGCACGGCAATATCTCAAGTGGATGGAGTGAAACACATTTGAAATGATGATCCTTAGAAGAATTTATGAACTGGTACATGACAGAGGAATGTGGCAAAGTAGATACAATCGTGAATTGAATGCATTGTATGATGAACCAAGACTTAACATTGGTTATCCAAATTGCAAGACTTTACTGGTTGTGACAATTTAAATGGATGGAGGAAGAGATAATACCCTGAAGACTGCTAATGGAACCATCAGCTGAAAGAAAAAGTTGGGGGAAAACTAAGGGTACAGTGGTTGGATGAAATGAATAAGAACAAGAAGAGTGGGTATAAGAAAATGGTGTGCAGCACATGATAGAGATGGGTGGAAGACTCTCAGGCAGTTGTGTTGCCAGTAATGACGGTGCCATAGATCATAATAATAGTATTACAACTCTTTGAGCAAACTATCTGAAGTTGGAATATTTCTTAGTTGTAATATAATAGAATTGTTAATAGAAGTACATTAAACATTTCATTTATTTTAATATTTCTTGTAAACATATGAGAAATAAAAGTGTCAATATAAAATGGTCCAGTAGGTTATGTAATTTAATATGGCAGGCCATATGTGCCCTAAGGGAAACAGGTTGGCCAGGTTTGATATATGTAGTTAATAAAATGAGGAGAATTGATGAGAGATAGAACACCATCAAGAATCAATACTAGAGTGAACCGACATTTAGTTTTTTGCTGATGATCTGCAATCTTACAATTGCAAATGGCATTACATAGGCTCAATGAACTAATACATTTTGCCCGAAAATATCAATAACAAACACTAAAAAATAGCTTTTTCAAGGTATTCATCCAATAAGAAACCAAATAGTTTAAAACAACAAGCTGATAGAATAAGTACCACTTTTCCAGAATTTAGGTTGTGACCAATATAATGAGCAGAATTTAGGTTGTGACCAATATAATGAGCCAAAATACGGATATACCCAAAAACAAGACTTAAAAACTATGTCGCATACGAAGCAATCAATAGAAAGAACAAGAAATAAAACTAAATGAAAATTGTACAAAGTTGTGTCAGTTTTCACTTTACTAGTAAAGATGAACACTTCACTAACTTTACCACTAATAATGGCACAATTAGGGAAAATTTTGATGAAAAGTAGAAGAAAGTACAAATGATTTAAATCAGTGTTAGAGAATATTGGCAAAAATGGTTCGATTATGTTCAAAATATGCCCAAGGAATAACATACTAGACTTCAGCCAGATTGTATTGCCTGTTAAAAAATACATACTTAAAAATCATATTGCTTGTGGACTACAATAGTGGCATCACTCAAAAATTATTAATTTCGTGTTAATGGACTCTGCACAATTGCAGATTGGTCGACCTTCCAGCAACATATCTTACAGTACAGTATTCCACCAACAAATGGCAGAAGTGTAAATGCAAAAATAAGACATTTTAATAGAAGATGAAAACTTCACTCTTTTATCTCAACACTCTTTACCTCACACTTATAGAGTTGTGCCAGTACTGCAACTCGTGAACAATATATTTACATCCCAATTATTGGACTCTACTGGTAGTCGCATAAGTCAAAAATTCATAATTTGGATAAGAATGCATTTCAAGTTATATGAAACACATTGGCTCAACAGGGACCTTAGTCTTTACCAATTCTCAAAGCAAGGAGTTGAGATCCTCTTTGGCTCGCCCAAAACCTGCTATTAGATCCAAACAGTACCCTCTACTTGCAATTAATCTATGAACTTCTCTCCCACGACTCTCACCAGACAATATGAAACTGGAAACTAAGATGAAAAAGAAACAAAATGTTCTAAAAAAGATGTCAGAGACAATGGATTAAATTTAGGTTTACTTGTTGATGCTAAAAATCAAAATCAGTACAGGGCTTTATCATGAGAAGCACAAAGCAAATGAAATTGAAGATACAAGAACGTAATTGGAAATGTATACATTCATTCAAGTGTAAGTAATAGTAATAAGAGCATACCTCACAACACACAAATAATAGTTAAATGCTATAAATAGTGTGCCAGTCCTTGAACTAACTCTAGAAGTAAAATAAAAACAGGAAAAATATGTAATCAAATTCCTTTTATAAATATATGCAATTATACTCTATGCATTAATTTGCGAGATCGGTACGGTGGCCTAGCTGAAATGGAAACTATTTTTATTTTGCTAAGTATATTATATTATTAGCAAGAATAATAATAACAATTAAATACGTTACAGGAAAATGAAATTACCTCCTGCAACCGCTCTCGCCAAGTTCTCCAAATGGGTAATACTTAATAACCAGAAGGACAATGCATTAAATAATTTTAGTTCACAGATTAAGAGTCGCTTGGCTCTTAACAGGATACAGAAATAAATAAGGTTGAGTGACAAAGCTACAAAGTTCCTTGTAATAAAATTCACCAACTTATTCATTCACGGTTTTGTGCACATAAGCTTGCATTTCGACACTCTCCTTCGAACTTACAAACCCTGCCTACAAATTTCATCACAATCAAAAAAAGTATAATCAAATTAGGCTACACTATAAACATATTTAATCACTTCAATATACAAGATCTCGTTAATCATTAAAAATATGAATCGTTACTTATAAACTCCATATAGTATGAAGAAATATTCGTTTCAATGTAGTAACGCAAATTGTTTAAACATGGTATTCTTACTGCAACATACAATTTTTACTTCAGACATACATTTCTATTAAATGCCCTTATGCCGACACAATTACTTCGTCAAATAAACACGTGTGTGTTGACAATGCTCACATGGCAATGATTGGTTCAAGATTGGATACTGGACACACACACCCGCAGCAATAACCATCTTCATCGAAATGACATAATACTACTAAATCACAAATCCTTATTCAAAAATGCTAATTATCAACGGCATAATTTTATGTTGTCACATCTCAGTAACTGTACCTTGTACTACAAATACACGCAATGAACAATCCAATAATAATATTTTAAATTCACTTACTGGTCAAATAAGCGCGGAAACTACGGTAGACAGTAATCATGGCTACCACATTTACAGGTACATTTGAGGCTTTAACTATGTGTAAAATATATCCAACTTTTCCGGTAGCTCACTAAAATTTAAATACGTGGTAACAAATATTTGCAACAAAGTATTATATTGACGAGATATCACGGAACTTTCTTATTTGTCAATTGTGTATTTCTGAAATGCAGTATGACCACTTGCAATGCGCCAAGATTTAAAAAGTCGCTCCGTAGGGAACGTGAACCGGGAGGTGTCCAGAACACGTGCCAGGTCCTAATAGTATCGCAAGAAATGACATATATTAATTAAAGCTTCGCTTGCAAAAGTTATTGAAAGTACGTTTGAAAAAAATGTTAACATTAGGGATAAAAAGTAATATTTTTAATGCGTATCTTAAATATTGAAATTCAGTCATCATTTAAATTCAGCACAGGAAACTGCAAACATTCTTTTTAAAAAAATATTACAAAAATGTGTAGGCCTAGTATTCATTTATATTTTTAAATATTCATACACTTATTATAATTAATACATTATACTAATTTAATTTTTTATTTTAATAATTTATATTTATAATAATTTATTATTATTTTACATTAATTAATACATACATTTGATTTTTTATAAAGTAGCACGTGAGCATCATCACTAAGGACATGATAATATTTACTTCGAACTATTTTCAAAATGAAAAGATAGTGACTTGTATGAATGACAGTTTAGTGCTTCTTTAAATCAAATTTGTGAACGAGATGCGCTCTCAGAACCTAAACAAACCGAAAGAAAGCAAATGTAATTGTAAATAACAAATGCCTCGGCAACCCCATAATACAGCCCTAAATTTACTAATTTTCTACGAAACGCCTACGCACTCATGAGAGCTTGCCAAACAACACTTTCTTGCCAAACGTTAGGACGTCATTCTGGGCATCTCCATAGCGGACTATCCTGTCAAAATATAAATTAATTTGATAATTATTTTATTTTGTAAAAGTAAAAAAAATTCCAATAATTCGTGTTCGTATTTATACAAATTGAAAATTATAACAGTATAAAAATAATGGTAAATCGAAAGTTTACTGTGCCCCTTCCTCGACTCGAAAAATTTTGTTCATCTGTAAGAAGTGGTTCTCAACAATGTGAACAGGAGTTTAACTGTTTATTAGACATTATTTTCTGGTCAATTTGTATTTCATTCATTCAAGGAATCAATGAATTATATCAGTTCGTTTCGTTCTCGCTAAAAATCTAATTTTATAGTCAGAGCATTTTTACATCAAGTGGTCCGCGACTGCCAGCTCCGGGAGAGGTGGCTCAGGGCATCAACTGATGTCACTGCAGTGCCTCTGACTGCGAGGTCAGAGCACGGGGTTGGGTCGAGCGAGGTCAGAGTTGGGGGGAGCGAGGTCAGAGTTGGGGGGAGGTTCAAGCCCCAACGGTGACACGATTTTCGACGCTAGCTGGTCAGCTTTGTTTCGATTTTTCTATAGTGACCGATGACATTATGTCATTGTTACACCTCCTGTCTTATAAAATGAATCTTTTTGACAGTGGTAAGCTTATTTCTGAGGGCATAAGCCCCGTTGAGGACGTTTGCGAATTAATTAAAAAATATTCATTTTATAAGGCAGGACGTGTAACAACGACATACTGTAGAAAGATCGAAGTATAGGTCGAATTCAATCGCTGTCTGGACGAAAATTCTTGTGACCGGCTGCTCTGATCGATAGTTTTCCGTGGTTTCTCCGTTCAACATCAGGCGAATGCTGTAAACATATCTTAACAAACGGGTCATAGACCACACGTGATCTTCCTTGTCGACCCTTACACTCACGTACACTACACTACCACACTTGTCGGGAGCTTAGAGCTTGTACATATCCAACAGCTTGAGTGGTTCATCTGAAATAGTTTTGATCAAATTTTTTATGTCATTTTTCTTTGTTTTAGGGCATTTTAAAGCATTTTAAGATAATTTTATTGATAATTTTTGTCAATGTTTAGGTCTCCGCGTAATTCACCTCCGTGTAATAACAACTTAATAGTTAACGACGGAAAAGCAGTTTCAATGCATTTTTGCGTTTCAAATCCTCAATCACATGCTCCATTGAAAATGAACAATATGCAATTAGCTGATGTTAAGGTAACAAAAACTTTGTCTCTCAATTCAGTCAAATGAAATGTACATATAACAGAATTAAACACTAAATTAAGTTCATTATGATACTGTGGCGTCATACGGGTGTAATCAGAACACCGACGAGAGTGGTTTGTAAAAACAGTAGATTTATTCACAATCTAGACCGTAGTCACAATTAAACAATTACACTGCTAATTACTAAATAAATAAATAGAACCCACTACTAGGAGAGATAATTTACGATCAATGTTCCCTGTGCGGAGCACCGCTCTACCCTGAGACCATCTACATGTCTCGCTAGTAACGACAATCAATTGCCGGCCCCTTGCTCTCGTGCACCTACTCGCACAAACTCACGCACCACCTGCCGCCGACGCTGCTGGGAAACAAGATCGGGGTATTGTTCTCGTGGCCTTCTACAGGCCCTTCGGCGCTACCTGCCGCCGCCATTGCCTCCACCCTACCCCGCCTTACCACGCCACGTCCACGGAAAGTCCCAGTGCGCCATCACTCCACCCTTTGTTAAACATCCGGCGATGCCCGCCGTCTGCTACGTGCTTGTCTCCGCCCCTTCCCACGTATGGCGGGTTTGCGCTGCTGCGGCAAGTGGCAGCGGGCTCCCGCTACGCGAAGCGGAGGGCGTACGCGCCACCGCTAGCAGAATACAGCTTTAAATGGTAGCCTTCCCACTGCGCGACGGCCGCAGCGCAGAGCTGCTGGTTATACCTGCTGCGGTCCCTTTGTCCGTCGTCGTCGGAGGGTCGGCGAAGAGACCTGCCGCTTGACAGGCGCGCGCTGCCGTGGCCACGTGGAAAGGCGCTCTGAACGCGACACGACGCTACAATACGAATTTAGAATTCTTTCAAATTCTGTCAGCCTTCATGCAGCTCGTTGAATGTATTTTGCAAATGTGCATTCCCGTCTGAGATATGGCATAGTATTCTGGGGAAGCTTATCATGTAATACCTCAAACTAATCATGCAAACCTTTAGATTGCAAAAGAAAATTATTCGAATAATGAAAAATGCCATTTGCGTGATCCATGCAACCCTCTCTTCATTCAGCTTGGAATCTTACCATAGCCTTGCCTATTTATTTCCGAATCTGTAACATTCATCAAAACTGACTTACTTAACGGTGGGAACATATTTTCAAGCAATACCGATATTTATAATTACAACACACATCATAGAAATCACGTTCATCAAGTGTCAGTATCAACAGCTCACTACCAGAAATCCAAATACAATACATGTAACGTTACTTTACGACGAATTGCCAGATGACATTAAACAATTGAAATTGGTACACAAATTTAAGTTAAAAGTAAAATCTTTTCTGGTGCATATCTATTTTTATACAATTAGAGACTATACTGATCATCAAAAAGAAAAATAATGTTCATTTTAATGAGAGATATACTATTAATTAGTTTATATGTGTATTGTGTATATTTTTTAAAGAAAGACTTAATATGTCTGTAACAAATAATGTACTTCAGCTACCGGGTCAATAACCCCATCTCGATCAGTTTTTTGTCTAGTTTCCCTGGTAAACTGAGCAAAATGCTGAGATGGCCCCTTGTTTTGCTTCTGGACGTAAATGCAGCTTCACTATGCACACGTTTTGTTGATCTCTCCTTTTGCTAGTAGTGGTAGGAATAGAGGTAAGGGCGAATTACTATTTTGTTAGTAATGCAGAAAAACCAAATCTGCAGTTCGTTTAACGTTGCAAATTCGTTTTCTATAACTCGGGAACGAAAATGTCTAGTTTTTCAAATGTTGCTAGTTTCGCGCTTTTAAAAAATTTATATTTATTTATCTTTAACTTCTACTCATCTTACTATTGATAGTTAAAATGATGGGAAGGGATTCTCGAACTTAAGAAAACGTGCGCAGATGATCTCCTCCATACGTCACATACAGTTTTTACTGTTTTTTGACTACGTAAATCTAAATCTTACGCGAAACAACAAAACAAATAAACTAGTGGTGCTAAAACTACGAATCTTCTCGCTCGTATTTTCATGCAAAAATACGTGAAAAGTACTCAAATTTTCAAAAAATTGTACCTGACCTTATTTCAAATTTTATTTTTAAGGAACAGATTACATTAGGGGGGATCTCAATATTTAATATTTTAGTTGTAGGAAGGCTCCGAAATTTTTTTGAACTTTTGCAATTTTCGAAAAATCAGAGTTTTTAAAGAACACGAGACCTGTACCATTCTCTTAAACGTCCTTCTCACTATCCAACAATAAAATTTAATCCTAAACGATGAAGCCTTTTTTATTTTTATTTTAAATTTTGAAACTGTTCTAGGTTCTTCATGTAAAGTATCCCCCAAAATTAAAATATCGCTTTGAAATTCAAGGGCCATGCCAAGGCAGTTGGTATTTGAAGTGCCTTCAGTTAAAGTGGTATGTACAATTTAGATTCCTCGAAACTGCAAAATTCTTGTAACCTTCGTCCTTCAGACAATTATAAGACTTCCAATAGCCCAAGATCACAACCATGATTGTATAAATCTGTGTGTGTGTGTGTGTGTGTGTGTGTGTGTGTGTGCGCGCGCGCGCGTGCATGAAGTCATTTCACATGGAAAAAGCACACTATCGTCTCCTCCTTAATTAGAGGAACAAATGGTTCTTTTTTAATTTGCTGTGGAATGCTTCGTTACTATATAGTTTCTTGACGATTTCTCTTCTGTAACATCCAGCTAGAGCTTAAAGTGAATTTAAACGCTGAATATAATACTGAGTATTGCTAAAGATCTACTCTACCTTTCCCAGATGCAAACGATAAGTTCAAATTTGTGAACTGAAGGAATTGGGCTGCGTATTAACGAGAGCTCTGCATTGTGTGCGACCCTACGATCATGCTCGAATTCGTCGGCCTTCTCGTCAGAATGTCATGAACTCGCTGTAAGCCTATAATAACGCAAATGATCTACCGATTGTACACAAGTGCTTCGAGTCATGGAATAGAGCACACAGTTCCGGTGACATACCGACTGCGAAGAAATTGAAACATTACAAAAAACGCTCACTGCGCCAATCGATGCTTCTGATGCTAAGACGGCAAAGATTCACTTATTATTTATATTTTGAGGAACACGTTGGAATATTTTTCCCCTATGGAAACGACTCACTGTATAAACTAACCACAATATAGAGAACTGAACGAAAGTGGAGTCACTACCCTGAAGAAACCTGCTATATGACAGGCGAAATGTCAGCCTCTCAGCCAAAGACGCGGCGTCACGCGGACAGTCAAGGTCATCTTCGCGATCTGTCGCAGACGCCTTTGTGTCATAATGTATTGGTTATAAATGTGCGTTTATCACAGGTGCTTTGATAAGTGTGCGACAAGAAGCCACGAGTGCTTTGAAAAGTGTCAATAAATCCCCGACTCGTGAAGCGAGGAGGGAATTTATCTGAGAATTTCCAAAGCACGAGTGGTATTTAATAGGACTATTTCATGAGTAATCTTGTGTCCAACAGAACATTGAATATTTGGCGCATATAGTCCAATATGCGCCAAATATTGAAAATGTTAAAATCAAAGAGTTCACGTTGTAATACATAGAGGGTTTATTGGACATCGACTTAGCGATCGATGTATACCGCCTACTAACATTGATGATGAGTCACAGTTCGGACAGAAGGGAAAACCGGTAAGAAAAATATGATAGAAAAAGCGATAAACTTTTTGAGATACACCACCCTCATTGGGGCATTTTGAATGTATCGTTAAACACTATTGGTTTTAATTTCACGAGTGGAATAGTGGAAGTGGTTTAACTTCACGAGTGGTATAGAAGAAGTCGTTTAAACCGGCACTTCGCGCCGCTCCGGCAGTAACTGCGTAGTTTGAATTTCGGGGGCTTCCTTAAAAAAGTGCTTGCTTATAAAGATGAATTGGTAATTATGCGTGGATAGACTCAAGGATGTTTATTGTGAACGCGAGGGCCGAAGGCCCGAGCGAGCGAAGATATATAACTTGCCGTTTAAAGTAAATTGGCATTACAATGCGGCGGGGACAAAGCGTATGAAGGGCGAGCCATGAAAATCGTCTATGTACCCTACTTCAACTACGTTTTCTATTTATTACTACACATTAATTTTGTTTTTCATATTATATGGTTTGAGTTTAACAATTTTTTATGTTCATATTATATTTATTCCTTGGAGAAGAAGTTTTCTATTTTAACTTAAAAATATATTCTTCTAAGAAAGAAAAAATCAAATCATTTGAGTCTACGCACATGATTAATTTGACGACGACAAACTTCTGTAGCAGGAAAGATGTGCTTTGCGAGTATAATGAATTATTTTATATGACATAAATTTTGTTACTACTTTGTTTTGTTGAATTGTTTTGGGATGTACAATAAAGAGAAAATTTAACCAAATATATTTTAAACAACCATACATATATTTAAACTTCAGTTTCCATATAATAAATTATCTACCATAATCTTTTAATGTTAACATTACTATATTTAATATAGCATGTTAATTATATACTTCTAAATAAATTTTGAGTAACACTGTTGAAACTATATTTATTCAAAACATGTAACAAAGCATGAAGTTACCAACCATATCACTGAAAAATTATAATTATCAATGATTTATTTCATTGGGACACATTTCTTTACCAATTTCTATTCATTATGGGAAAAAATGGATTAACATGAATTTTGATTCTTATCTGCAGACACAGATTACAGTAATTGGTACAGTGTTATGACAAAATAAGAAAATAGAAATTATAAACTGTATCTGAAACAAAGAATGGTTCTTTAATCATGCTTGTTTTAAATAACTCAGAAGCAGAACTTGAAATTGGCAGAAAATCATATTGTTGTATTTTGAAGCAGACCAATTGTTAAAATACTCAATTACACTAAATCACTGTCTCACTTCTGAAATGCACTTGGTTCAGTCTGTGGCAATTACCGGGTTCCGAGTTAACCAAAATAATTTGTTGTTTACATTTATGTGATAAGTTTAAATAGTGATTGGGTTTGTTTTACAAAAGATTTTGTTGAAGATATGATTGCTACACATTCTGTTATGTGGAATACTCATAACTTTTACAAAAAAAATATAGTATTATTATGCTTATTATATATGTTTCACAGAAAATCAGAATAGATATAAATAAATGTATAGATATATTCTAAATTGTATAGTCTTAATTTTCAGTTTTTTCCATCATTCTGCAACTACTATTATCACCACAAATATTGAGGTATTTCATAACTTATTTTTTTAATTGTAAGTTTATGTACAAAAAACTGGGCAGAGACTAGATTTGTGGAATTTCCATTCTTTACCCATTAAATCAAAATTTATTACACAATAACTTAACTAAATCTAAGATACTTTTATACATTCATTTCATGCCCTGGCACATACAATTTTATTAATGTTTTCTGTAATTATCAAAGTTATTGCTTTTTTTAAAAATTCAATGTGTTTTCTAACAGAGAATATTTTCTACACAGGCTACAAGGTACACACAATCCAACAAATCAGCTTGTCATGTATAAATGAGTTAAATATTTTTAAATATCTAATACTGTAACCTTTAAGCTCATTACAATGAAAATGAGGCATGTTCACTCGTGACATTTATTCCAGTTCATTTGTCAATATGACATCAGAGTAGAAATTGGACTAAAGGAGTTAATCTTAACCAAGTGAATTACAAAACACTTCTATTAATTTGGAACGTTAGGGAAATATATCAAATTGTACTTTACACAAAGAATTGATTTCAATATTGTCATATTGAAATAAATCTGAACAAAATAGTATAATACTATGATGACAATGACAACACAATAATACAAATATGGTGTATGAGCTCAATAAAGTGTTTGCACATACACATTGCATTGATAAGGGAGTCTAAAAACTGGAAACAAGGTTTTTTATATCAGGAACATTTTATTGATCATACCTAACCAAGATTTTATATACATTTGTGGCATTTAATATTTTCAATGCTTCAGAAGACGTGATTATGATTGTTTAAGTTTATTCTGAGGTCAATATTGTGCCTAAAATCATAAAGTTGATTTTCTCATACATGCTGCCATTTGTACAAAGTATGTCTCATCCCTTAAAGTTTCATTAGAACTAGACTTCTTGAACATATTGCAATTCTTAGTTGTTTTTTTTTAATATATTTAGGTACGAGCAGCCATGCATATATGTGTACCACTGAATACCCAGAGGTAGTTTATAATTCCGTTGTTAACAATATGATTGTTATTTTAATTTGTTCCTGAAAGTCTTGACAGTATTCCTAGTACTGGTCTTAGAAAACAAAAATTTATTGTAAAATGCACGTCACTAGCAACAGATTATACAGCTTTGGCGGAATGTTTTAATTTTATTATTTACATAGTTCAATTAACATACAATCACTAAATATCATCTATGTATGGGGAAATCTATTACACAATTTACTCTAAATTTTCCTATATATTAAGAACAACCTTCTTCACTTAAATCCTTGGTTTGTGAAAGATATGTTAAAACATATACTAACACACAGCTTTATGTATTAACTCCGACAGAACATATTGAAAATGTTTTATTTCCATTTTACTTTGTATGGAATGAGTCTATATTTTGAAATGGGAGCAAAACACAAAACAAAAGTACATTCATTGTTTAGTAGAACTTTCATCAAAGTTTGCATTTTCCAGTTTCGTTTATGAAATGTAAGATTCCTTGCATTGAATTCACGATTTTTTACATATCAAACTCATACACCATTTTATATGGCATATCTTCAAAATGTACAGTGTTTCAAACAGATAATTACCAAGAACCAAAATTCAATGCTCCCTTAATGCAAATTTGAAAATTGTTCTAACTGAGAACAGTATAATTTAACCCAAGAAAGTGCCCTAGAACTATCTTATTTCAAAAGTCTTTTCAGAAATAGATTAATGTTTCATGAGATAAAGCTGTTTTGAATTTTATCGATCATATTCAAAACATGATTAACATTGAAATAATTGAAAATTGTGAACCAGGCAAGAATTTAATAGAATTTCTTCAACCTGAACATGAAATTATGAACATTTATTGATTTTTCATCTGCAGATACACTTAAATTTTAGAAATCTCAGAAGCAGTCTTATGAATTTAATAATTTATACTTCTGTAAGATCAATTGAACACTAGAAATCTGTAATATTAACATTGCCAAAATTAATCCAGAGCATGGAAAACTGACATAACATTCTGAAGAAAAATTGTTACAAGAAATTCGCTCAACAAAAATGTTCACTACATATTATTAAATTTTTTGGCTATCCTAATTTGATAAATTCATTAGTACCATGTACACTGAAAACTAATGAATTATTTCTCATGCTGATTACCTTTTATAACAAAATTTTCCTGCTCATAATTCAAATTTTGAGAGTTGAAGTATATGAATAATGGTTAAAACAAACAAACTGTTAATTTTTTATTAAAAAAGGATAATGCAGCACATTTATTTTAGGTTTGAAACAATGTACGTTTCGATATTTCAAGGGGTGATGAACATATTTATAATCACTGTCATCATTCATAAACTTAACCATCATCATCTTCATTAGAGTTGTATATTATTTTGCTTTCCCGTTTTTATAGTTGGAGGGAAAATTTGTATCAATGGAGGTTTATAAGAATGACATAAATAAATAAATCCTCTATTTTTTTTTATTATATACATAAAAAAATAAATAAATCAACTAAACGTGATGAAATATTGCTTTTGAAAAATTAATTCCCATTGTCCTTAGTCAGATGTTTGCATTGTAGTTTATGATGATAAAAACTGAGGCACACTTTTCTTTATTGTGAATGATTTCTGTTTTCTGGTGTCTTACTAGTGCAAAAAGAAAGTATTTTTACACAGTGGTATGTTCTTAACAATGAACTACTGTAAATTATTTTTATGAAATGCATTTATTCAAATTCAGAGAGAGGGTTCTTTTTCTAAATTTCATGTTTTTCTTCATTTTTTCACGTTTAAAACTTTTTCTAATTTAAGAAATCTTATCATAAATTAAAAGGATGTTCGAGAAGAGGGCACTGCTGAAATTTTGATTTTACTAAATTTTTTCTCTCCCACTCTCTGAATATATTGCAGCCACACTTGAATTAAATTATGAAGCACATTCAATAACAAGATGTTATGTCATAATGATACCTCCAGAATGAAGATCTTGGAGATATGTTTGTTTGTGTGTATGTGTGTGTGTTTGTGTGTGTGTATGGGCATGTGTATATGTGTGTGTATCTAACGATTTGAATACTTTTTAGTCACATTGACAAATATCATTTCTTAAACACTAATTCATTAAATTCTCATATACCCAAAACCAGTTTAGTCTTCAAAATTGTTTTTTTATAAACTTGATATCTATAGAAAACAAATAAAGTACCATCTGCAAAAGAATAAATGTGTGAGGTTGGTTTGGCTAAAAATAAGAAAAGAATTAATATAAGTATCTTACAATAAAAAATTGGAGAATTGAAACAAATGATCATATTTTTGTCTCCAATAGGCCAAATAATTCAATATAGTTTTTCATGAATATTGTCATGATTCTATATTCTCAACTACAATGAGATAACAGTGACCTCTTCTGATATGTACCTCTTTTCTAAATAGAATTTGTGCTAGAACTCTTTAAATTTGCAATGTTTCTTTCTTGATTTTACTCACTGAAGCCAGAAAATCAATTGAATTTTTCATTTCTACTTTAATTTTAGTAATTTTTGTTTAATCGTACTAAAAACTTTGCAGCGAAGAAAAATATGATAATTCAACTTGTATATTCAAGAATGTATTACTAACAAAACTTTCAAGTTGGTAGTGATATTTTAGAACTGTTTTCACTACAATAATGAAATTAAGACATTTGATTGTGAAGTGCATAAGAATTAATGATTGAAAAACATGCATATATCAATGAGATATAAAATTTTCCTACTCTTGTTTTAAATTTAGAAATGAAGAGCTAGGAAATAAAACATTATTCAATAACAACAGATACAACTTATATTAATTAATTTTCATCTCACACAGTCTCTTTCTTTTTTATACTTCTCTTTCATTGACAATTAGTACACACATGTATCTCATTCACAGTGAAATCAATAAAAAAAAAAGTCCTGTCCCAACACATTTACCAAGTTCTGAGAACAAAGTATTTCAGGAGTGAAGATGATGATGGTGGCTAAATGAAATTTATTTTTATTACAAGTGACTGAATTTTTGCAATAGTAGCAATAGAGTTTCGAGTCATTTTGAAATGTGAAAGAACTCTTAAAAATGAATAATAGGGAAATATTTTTTATAAATGAAAAGGAAAAAAAACTCTTATAATTGAAATGTAAAGTAAATTGGCATGCTATTTCTTCACATGTTTTGCAAACTAATTGAAAATGATCAATAGTTAGACAAACCATAAAAGCAGAGGAAGCTATATTTTGTTTAATGAAAATTCAATTACCAGGAACACACTGAGCTTTCTATTCTTTACGTTCAAAATAACTGAGGCCAATTAAAAGCTTCCCTAAACTAGATGATGAAAGGATTTTTACAAGATTACACTTTAAAGAACAATACTATCACTGAAAATCAATCCAAGACTCTAAAGCAACAGAATTTGATACCTACTCCACTATAAGTAATTGTATTACTTCAAAATATTTGATATGATACATTATTTTCATGTTTTGATAATTTAATAATAACCTTCACTTTACTTGCATTGTTCTTGTTTATTAATGTCTACTACACCATTATAACTCATTTTTCTCAATAAGGGTCGGCAGTGTTATAGAATTCCACACAAAGTACTGTACATTGAGCTATTTATATAACATTCTTATAACTGCTCCAAACTGAAATTAATTTCGATTCTACTTCTCAAATGTAATTCTTCATTATACAATATTTCTGTCTTTTTCCTGGCCAAGACCATCAAAGTCATGCCATGTTGCCTCACTTATTATTCATACTATAAATACAATTTATTACAGTTGAATTCATACACAAACAAATGTACTTATATTTAAAAAATGAATAAATTATTTCAATGTATATTCAAAGAGAACAATCGTGCACCTACCCCAATTTATTTCAGCATGGACATAATTCACATGTTTTTTGCTCAACTATATCACACATGATGTAGAATCTGTATGCAGAAAAACATTTTTACAGCTGTACAAGTGTCAGAATGAATTTTTAAATAAAAATTCATTGACCATAACACACAAGAATGATTATCAGTGTCGAAGACAAAGCAATAAAATTATGCGTTTATGAATGTAAAATGCTTATTATACTTCATTTAATTAACATTATATTTAGACATGCTATTCAGAACAATTTTTGATATGCAATAATTCATTATGAAATGTAGAAATTTATTATCTGTTCTTCTGCATATATGAAATTATATCAAGATATTATCTTTGTCCATTTTTGTTTTGGACATAACCATGCAGCTGAGCACTTCTGCTGCACTTATAAAAGTTGCTGCATGTAATATCAACACTAATTGTCATTTTCTCATATGAATCCATCTTTCAAAATAATATATCATTGTGACATCAGATTTTTTATTTTAGACTCATAGTGCATTTATTTCTGAATTACACCAGTGGTTCAGTCAGTGAATGTCTTTCACTGTATATCTTTATTTTAATTATTTCATACTCATACAGTAAAAGAGCGTAAGCAAGATTCAAAATTCTTCTCTGATAACAGTCTAGCTAAACTTCACTGTCCAAATCAATGAGGTATGTGTTCACAGCTAATTGCAGTACATTGCATTTGTGGAGGTAGATGCTGGCATACCATAGCTTAATTGCACAATACTCTATTACACCTCATTTTTTAAAATACTGACGTCAGTGAAAAAGTGTTTCTTTTCTTTTTGTTCTCTATATTTTCCATAACAATTCTAGAATTGTACCGAGTGTAATGTAAAGACTGGAATGCCATCTACTGTTCTCCATTGTAAGCACAATAACATCAAAAACAACAAAAATACTGTTTTTGTTGAAAGAAAATGAGAATTTTGATCTGCAATTATGTAAGCGAATATTTAGGACAAACTGTAAAGAGAAATGCTGCATAACACATAATGCTGTAAGACATGTAACTATATATTATTTCAATATTTAAACGTTAATACCATGGTTTTTCGAGCTTCCAATTTATTTGATTTTTCTAAAATTAATACAACTTGCAATGAACAGAACATAATTATTCAATATTGCCTGGCATAATAGATGGGTAAGTTTCAAGCAAAAGAAAATTTGTCCTTATGCAATAAACAAATATTTTATATATAAATCATGTTCAATTTTATGACACAATTAAATAATTAGCATACACGGAACTGAAAAAGGAAACATGCTGACACGCATGTGCTGTAAAAAATTCTTTAATCAGTGTAGATATCAACCATAAAGTATATTTGATTAAAGCAACAGACACTGGACAGACTACTGTTGATTCTGTTTGAAGTATAAGGTTAGTTAACTCCATTTAATGAGAAATTATACTTTCTCTGAAATGAAAGTGTGGATTAAAAGTTTCTTGAAAGTAATAATGTTCAGCTACTTCAGCTGTAGTAAATATGTTTTCAGAAAGCAGTTGCAACAAAAATGTAAGAATTATTTTAAAAAAAGTTTACTTGGATCTAATAGATAATTACTTATATTTTGTTCCTCTGTGCATTAAAACTATTTATAACAATGTTCATCTTACAATTAGAATTTCAAACAAGTATAAAAAGAAAATTTTGACAAATTAAAAAAGTTGTCACTATTAAGAGATTTTTGTTAAATATATACCGAAGTATGTGAGTGTGTGTTCATACACATATATTCCTCTAAGGAGAATGTGACAATTATAAAAATGTAGATGTCATCTTCATTCTACAACAATAATGAAAATTTTTCTCTGCGAGTATCCAAAGCATAGGCCAGGAAAAAGGCAAGAAAAACTAAACAGTTTAACATAGGAGCTAATGCCCATGGACTCCAAGCTGAATTTCTTAATGATATTTCAATTAACTATTTGTTCTGTGTGTATGCGTTTGATTTGTCTCATGTAACTAAATCAAAAATGGGTGAAATCTTTTAATTTTCATCCAATTTTGCCTCTTGTTTTTGTTTGTTGTTGTTGTTGTTGTTGTAATTTTATAGTACTTTCCGGTACATATTTGTTGAATATGTGCTCTTTAAATTCAACACAAATTCAATATAATCCAGTAAATTTCAGAAAACTTTTAATTATTTTTCCAGGCTGTTTCAGAGGCACATTACAGAAAAAAACAGTACTTATTAATTGGAGGTATGATATTTATTGAATCCAGTTTTGAATTATTTGGGTTAGTACATAAACCAGTTCTGCTTCCAGAACTAGAGATCATGCCAATCCTGCCAGAATTCTATATTCCTTGCTGAAACCACTCATCTACTTTACCATATTTAATAAATTATTTTTCATTTGAAATGAGAAATGTCCACTGAGAGGTACTACTTCCATAGCAACTTTCAGTTCAAACAATATTAAATATTTAAAATTTCTGAAAATACTAGCAACTAAGTGCATAAAACAAACAACAAATAAGCCTACAGGGTGAACATGGCCACATCCAGATATGAGCTGCAGAACTGCATCAGATAAAATCCCTTTTGGTTTGCTACATTTATTTTGCACTGTTATCTCATTGTAGCCATTACACTAAATGTGCGGGGCCAGACAGTGAACAATGCCCTACCTACCATTTAGAAGCCTGTCCTACACACGTTTTATCCACACAATCATACAGTCTTTTGAATCACTTAAACACATAATTTTATTTTCCTATAATCTGATGTTCGGAGTTAACATACACTCACACAACCTGCACTGCAGATAACGGCATGCTATTGTGTACTTTCAGTCTGCAAATGTAATATACAAGTTACATTGGAGTTTTTACATATACAATAAATTGGTAAATCGTTGTGATCAATCATTTCCTGAAGGATATGGATTAACGTATTCAACGTCTGTTTTGTAAAAGCCATGTTTACTTTCATGGGAAAACATTTTAATAGTCCTTTGGCTGTATATGAAAGAAAAATTAAACACACGATATGGTACGTTTAACAATTTTGTCATTGGCCATACTCATACTATGCCTCTAGCACTTCCTCACTGACGTCCGGGACCATTGATAGGTCCTCAGCCATCTCGTCGCCTTCTTCAGACTCAGGGCCCTGCTCCATTGGCAGCCCTACAGTGGTACTCGAGGCGAAGTCTCGTTCCTCACCCAGCTCTTCTATTTCATCTCCATCAATACCTTGTTCAATTATTTCCCTTTTGATCATATGAACAAGGCCATCATTGTCTCCAGCCATTGAAGAAGGAGGGACATTCTCTTGTTTGATGAGCATTAATGAGCTTTCAGCAGAGGTTCTGTGAAAGGAGCATGTTTTAAATAATGAGATATATCCTACTCCATTTAAATTTGATACAATGATTTGTGAAATAGAAAAAGAGAATTCATAATTATTACAAAATATTACATTGAACAAAAGCCTCTAAAACAAAGAAGTGATAAAATACTCACCAGTCAGAAGCTACACAAAAGAATACATCAATAAATAAGTTGAATCATTAATTCATTTAAATTTTTCACAAATATTTAAAAAGAAACATGATTTGACAATGTTACAAAGCTAAAACTGTGTAGAAAGGAAACGTGTTCATTATAAAACTAGAGTCACATATGATCATTATGATTTAATTCATTTCTCACCTGTGTTCTGCTGGTGGAGATGACACCTTGTCCGGACTGGTTGTTGTGGAGGTGCTCATAGAATTGTTATGAAATCCAATATTGTTTTCTCCAAGTGCTCCCTGAAAACAAACAGTTTTTTCAAATTCAGTCATTTAAAAAGTAATATCAATTTTTAACAACTACATAATTTTTTCCAAGAGTAATGAAATGTCTTTCAATTTATTATCATGAACACATAAAGTATTCTTTCATTCTTCTAAATATTTTAATTAAAAAAAATTAAAAGCATATTTCCTGGCAATTTTTTGTATTTATGAATTTGGCATTCTTTATTGTAACATTTAGGGATATGCTATATCTGCAACTGTCAGTAGCGGATCTAAGGGGAGAGGGGTGCATGGGTGCCATGCCTCCCCCCAAAAATCTAGAGTATTCGTTTGTTACCCTCTTTTATTTGCCAAAATTGATTTAAATATTTATTTTTGTCATAATTATGTAATTATTTAAAAATAATATATATATATATATATATATATATATATATTTTTTATAATATATATAAGCCACAAAGTAATATACAATATGATAACAAATATGTTTCATTATTTGACAAAAAATCAATGATCCCCCCTCCTGCCCTCCCAAAAGATGCGGGTGATTCCGCCCCTGACGACTAGAATGGTTCAAATTCACATAGTACCTGCATTAATTTAACCCTGCAGCACACTCATTCAATCTCTTAGATGACTGAGCTCGTATTTTTTTCTGTTACGCTTTCATAGCAACAATGACTATTAGCCAGCTATTCGGCATCGAGCGTATAAGAAGTAATCCTCAATTAAATATTGACTTGTCTCGTAGCGTCGCAGTCGGACATTGCCTTTTATCCGTGACGTTAATAATCGGGGTTCCCAAATGGTCATCCACCTGGGAATCTGTGTGGTCTCGAATTGCTTAACTTCCGTGATTTCACGGAATGTAGTTAAGTTAACAACGTCGGCATTCTTCTGTTGATGGAGCATCACAGAATTTTTTTAGAACACCGTCCTCCGTTCATTGCCTCTGGGTTATTGTTCTCAGATGTCATAGTTTCCTGTTTGTGTCAATAGGCTTTATACTGTCGTCACCCTCAATCAAATCATGCATGGCACAGCATTCCACGGACGTCGATGTCAGTAAATGTGTTTTATGTGCGTTTGTGTTTGAAACACCCAGTAGACAATTTGTGAAGCAAGATACGTTAAAATTGAGGGGAATAAAATTCATTTGAGAGATAACCACATTCTCAACTTTTACTAACGCATGTGCCGCAGGGTTGTTATCAAGTATGTGAAAGCTTAGGTTCCCATGCCCGGAGTCCCTAGAATCTTGACTTTCCGGGAGACGCCGCGCCCTAGGAACAATTATCAACATTTCGGCCGTCATACTATGACCTTCCTCAAGGCGAAATGCGCGGAGGTGAACTGTGCTTGTTTATAAAGTATGAGGTCCCCCCCCCACCTGGCTGGTCGAACGATTGGCAAATGCATTAGCCAATCAAGGCAATGATCCTCCTGAAAGGGGTAACAGAAAGGGACCGTCCGTGGTCGGACGACAAGGAGCAATGGGAACCGTACGCGACTGGGCCTGGACTGGGCGTCGCTGGGTTTGCAGTAAAATAGATGTTTCCAAGCCTCATCGAGACGCAGGCTTTGGTTGGCGTTAAGGTTTTGAGAATGATTAATAATTTCCACATTACTTTTATCTTCCTTGGCCCCCAGCTATCTTCCCTGGCCAAGAGGAGGGTGTTGTCAAAAATAATGGTGTGGCGGATGCTTTCCCCGCATTGGCCGATCGTTGGACCAACTGGCTATGGGGGTGGAAGGCAACCTCATTCTTAATATATCCGTGTGTAGTCCACCTCCGCGCATTTCGCTCTGAGAAAGGTTGAAGTATACGACCTACGACGCGACGTCTCCCACACAACCAAGAAGCCATCATAAATGTGGAGTGGCACTTACAGGGGATGACATTTTTTTAAATATTATGAACATATTTTTTAGACATTGGTATGAAATAACATAACTGCTTTGAACATTTTCTTTATGTGTGCATTTCATTATTTCAGCATCATTCATGAGTACTTATTTTTTAAAAAAAACCTATGCCCTGTTACTATAATCTGCCCATCATTTTTTTAACAATGAAATTTATTATAAATGGATACATTACATTATATACTAAGATAAAAATTAGTATTTTGTTTTAATGACTAATGTGGTTCTTATATAATTAAATCTCAAAAGTACCCTGTAAACCTCTGGTTGAGTAAAAGTGAGAATTTCAAATAGGAGATAAGGAAAGCCAATTGTCTGGCAAACAATAAAATTATTTTTATGTATGCTTTCCACAGAGTGAAAATTTAGATGAAGTTTGAATAACATGAAATGTTAGTGTTCTTTATTTCTCAATTTCCATTCTTTCTTAATTGTGTATAACCATTGCACCCAGTTTTGCAGTGGTAAGTGGCTTGTTAAATAATCTTAATATTTTTTTATGTTATTTGCATGTTTTACGTCTTCAAATAATCAATACATTAAAAGCAGTGATATAAAATAATTTTTTAACATTCCAAATATGAAGGCATGTTCCAGTTCATTTAACTGAGTGCATTCAAATAAGATGCAGTATATATTATCAGGGTAATTTTTGAGTTCAGTGCAGAAATATTTAGAAACTAGTCTATTATCACTAGTAAAAATTTCATAAAGATAGATCATAAGACTGATGGTTTATAGAATAAAACATTGCCTTTTGTCATGAAATAAACAATACAGAAGCAGAAATGGAAGAAAGTGCCAGACCAAAAAAGAGAAGTGCTCCTCTTCAGCAACATCAAATGAAGAACCAACAAAGTAAGAAGATAAAATAAAGACGTAATGATAGGAGCAAATTTTGTTGAATAGATTCTACAAGTGATAAAGAAATATACGGATATATATCGAAATACATGGAAAATTAGCCATATCAACAAATTCTGGTGACATTAGAAAATATTTACAGAGGATTGGAATTAAAAACAGTATTTGTGAACAAACGACAATTGTTGAATATAATAAGTATATCTTTCAAAGCAGAAATTCCACTACAAGAATTACAAATGGTAGAACAGGAAACTTTTTTCCACAAGGAGTGCTGATTTGGTGTATAACCTTTTGAAGAACCTAAAGATGACAGGAGGGTATCAGACATCTACAACAAATAACACTGTCACAACAAAGAAGAAAAACAAAATAATAATTCAGTGTTCTATTCTGACTACACAACATATTAGGGAAGAAATTAACAATATATAGAAGCTACAATTATCTGGAACCCAAGCTTGCCTGTCAAAAAATTGCTACTTTTCGCTGCAGCATTACAATACTTTATCTTCACGATGAAAGAACATAGTATGCAAGGAAGTAAAAATTGAAATAAATATTAGTAAATGCAAAAAACAGAAATAGTTCTGGTCCAGATCTTATTAGTTTGCAGTTGTTAAAATACTGAGGTGAATTTGTAGAGATACCTAGATGTCTCTCAATGAATTAATTATGGGGAATTCTTACAATTACACAAGATTGGCAACTGAAACTCACACAAAAAGGGAGCAAGAAACAAATGCAAAAACTGAGTGGATGCAAAAACAGTAAACATTGTAAACAAATAGAAAAGTTACAAAGAAAATGACATAACAAAAGAACCCAACAGATTTCCTTCCTCAGATCCTGAAATTTAGACTAAGAGAAAGGAAAGAACAAGGCAGTGAAGAAAAAAGATGGAATGACCACGAACACCTTAGTAGTGACTAGAAGGATAATGAAAACAAACAAACAGGGCACTCCTTAAAAGTTCTTGATGATAATGATGAATGATTGGTACTAAATAAACTAATTAAGAAATGGTATAAAATAATTTTGAGTGAAGCTACTTTCATTTTATCTCACAATCACTTCAGAAAGAAGTAGTCAATAGTAATTATTACAAGTCTTGAATCCATATAGAAATGACGGGTGTAGAAATTTAGTTACGTTACCTCAGAATAATTCTCACATTGGACATTCTTGAAACATAAGAAGTCAAGAACATTTCAGTAAATATTATTCTCTAAGAACCATAAAATTAAAATAAATGATTTTATGATATATTGTGGTATGCATAATTTGCTTAGAAAATATTAATTTTCCTTGTGAAAATATCACTATTGTTTCTGATCCTACTCATTTCTTGTGAAATGAGGAATGTCCAATTCCAGAAGTACATAAAAATGGTAGTTCTGCATCACATTTGAATGAAAAAAAGCATATATAGTAAAAAAAAATGTAGTTATGATTTTTTTTAAACGTGCACAAATACTGCACTGTTTTCTGTACTTCTAACTGGGACTTCATATCTCAACTGATTCAACAAATAAGAACAATCTATGAAACTGTGAATATATCATTACATCATTAGATTACATCATTACATCATTACAATTATGCAACGAGTTCCCAATGGAATTTAAAATTGAAACATTTGTATAAGATTTATGACTTAAGAATGGGTCAGGTGGATTCATTTATTCGGCTGCAACTTTGCAGAATTTGAGATTAAATGTTTCTAATTGGTTAATATGTGTTTGTAAATATGATAACCAAATATTATATGATAACCAAACCTAAGCTTATTGCTCACATAAATAAGGAATGAACAAGTGATAATTACAGTTCTTAAATAATTAAATCAGAATGCAATTTATATATTCTTCTAATAAACCCTAATCCATTATTTGATACAAATTTAGTAGTTCACTATATAATAAATACATTTTTTGATGCACATTTGACCAATTCATTGAGTGGACAAGTATACTAGGATACTGTAAATTATATTGTTGTAAACCATTGTATTGTCTAGTTTATTTGAAAAACCTTTGTTATAAAATCATTTTCACTGCACAATTTATTGTTACATGTATAAATTGGAAAGGTTTAAAAGACAGTATAAAATACAATACATACAAGAGAGCATAAAAATCTTTCTAATTGAAACATGTAACAATAAATTGTACATTGAAAATGACTTTATGTCATAAATGTTTTTAAAATAAATTAGACATGAAGTTAACAATGTAATTTACAATTCCCTAGAATACATGTCCACCCAATCAATTTGCCAAATGTGCATCAAAAAATAATGATTTGATTTGATTTGAATATAATTTTTACAAAATGTTATATTAATTTTATCTAAGAAAAAGTTCAGTATCAGACCTTTTCCATTACTTGGTATAAATTATTCTTGATCTATATCTCTAAAAATAGTTTTAGAAATTCATTTTGTTGAATTTTAATATATAGAGATAGTTATTTCAACATCAATTCTATGAATTATTGATACCAAAGTTAGGGTTTATTTACCTCAAATTTTCAAATTGTGAATCTAAAGTGGAATTATGTAGAATTCACTATATATTCACTACAATAAATTTGTTAACAATAAATTAACTTATTCCACAAAATCCACTATACATACATAATTTGAAAATTTTAGAAAAATAAACCATGACTTAGCTAACAATGTTCTATACAATTCATGTTGAAATAACAATTTCTATCTTTTTAAACTAACACTTGCACTCACATACATGCATTTAATTTGCTTAAGAGATAAGTGTGTTTATCTGTACCAGAATTTGTCATTGGTTCAGTATGTTGTGTAGATGAATCTTATTGTCATTAATACAAAAAATAAACAAATATGTCAGCAGATATTCACAATACTACAAAAATTTGTAAATGACATAACCTTGGCATATGGACTTATGATTACCCGTTTTGAAAATAATTACCTGTAAGCTAGCATTCAGTGCGTCACCGTACAATGTTGGACTGTGGATCAAGGTGGGACTTTTGGACGGCACACTCCTATTAATTCAGAAAGCAAAATCATATTAGCATGAGAAATTGATACAAATAAATTTAAAAAAATATAAAATCCTTGTTTGTCTGAAAAGAGAGAGTTAGACACAAAAATGCTTTAAGAATAAAAAGAGTTGTAAAATGTATATAAAAAGAGAAAAAGAGTAAGAGAAAAGTAGAAAAGCAACATCAAAAAAGAGAGAAAAATATGTAAATAAATACAAATTGAAAATGCACTCACCATTATACTGTTTCTCCCATCAATTAAGGAAGTTAAGTGACCAATATTTAAGAAAAAGGAAAAACTATTTTTTCTCTGTTTCAAATCCACTGTCAATATTTTATGAATAATTTTATCTCATAGTATTTAGTAATTACTCTTAGGTTCAATTCAAAAGTTTATTTATTATACTGCATTAAAATTACATAATTACAATTTTTGTTTACTTTCATGTATTTAGATTTGAAACAAGAGATGCTGCATGTTTCCGAGGAGTTATATACCTGTTTCCTGATGAGTTCAAGTGTAATCTACATTACTATAAATTGAGTAAAAATATAGATAAAAATGTGTAAATAGTAACCACTTGGAAAACATTGAGCAGCAGCAAGTATAAAGAATATAAGTATAAATATATAAGAAAAGTGAAATATATATATATATAAATATATGTATAAGAAAATTGAAATATATATAAGAAAATGTAAATGTATAATAAGAATAAAAAGAGTTAAAATGTAAGAAAAAATATGAAAATTGAAAAAGTAGAAATATATATGAAAATTAGAATTTTGTGGAACTATTCTATTAGAAAAATACCTTCTTTTTATACCTTGATATTGAAGAATCTGTTGTATGTCCATCTGATAAATGTGCTCAACCAACAGCTAGAACTAGATTACATATTAACAGAACTAGCTACCTGCATTAAAGCACCTGCAAGTCCACAAGTAAAAGCCACAAATGAACAAAAACAATTTACTGGAATGGGTCAGGAGAAAGAGACAGGGGAGGAACGTTGTAAGGCATGCATGTTAACATGCTGCAACATGTTTTTCAACTGATCTGTACTTAAATGTGCAAATGCTTCAGCTTCTCTAAAAACTAGAATAGTGAAATAACTTTTCTATGGATTTTAAATGTGTATATAAATGATACTCCTTATACATGATATTTTTAATGTCAAAAATATAATTATTCTTCAAATTAATATATATGTATAGATTAGATGATTACATTTATATAATTATTCCTTACATGAGAATAAATAACTTGTAATTTGATTTAATTTCATAATGTTATTTAGTTGTTATAACAAAGCAGTATTGTGAATTTTTAGGAACCATGTGATAATATAAAATCTAATAATTGAAAGTATTGTTACTGTTTTTTTCTTCTAAAATTAAGTATGGAAGATATTATTACAGCTACTGGTTTGTAAAAGAGATGGCAACTAAAAGGAATAATAAAGAATATTAGAATACTGTGTTAAATGAAAAAGAAACACAAAACTATGTTTTTGTTGTGTTCTATGAAATTACACCCTGAATTTTAGATTCTATATCAACTTTTGCAAAACCAACAATAACTTGTTTATTACTTATACTCTCACAGTCTTCACAATTTTTTAAACAGCATATTCAAGGATTTCTTTAATATTAATAGGAAAATGCTTTAGTAGGAGCAATCACCATTGTCAAGTAAAAATAAAAAAATAACAAAAATTGGAAAGGATCAAATTCTTAAAATTTATTTACTACTAATACTAATTTTTTTATTCAACTTAAAATTTTGTCAAAAAGCTTTGCAGTAGTAAAAAATGAATGTATGCTTGCATGCATTTTGTTGTGACACTGGGATCATCTCACAAAGAAAAATGAAGATGGAATTATAGGGCAAGAAAATGCAGAAAGAAAACAAAAGATGGAGAAGCAAAACTATTTGTAAAAGGGAGGTACATGATATTTTTAATATCAAAAACTACTGTTAAAATAAAAGTTTTCATGTAGTTCACATGAAAGTATTAATACAATATTGGTATATCAATTATTGCACAACAATAATAAGGAGTAGTTTTAAATTTATTCAGATACTTTATGTACTTTAAATCTCTTTCTAATAAATTATATTTTTGTTTAGAATGAATTTGATGAAACTTCCTCAATACCTTCATACTTACAGAATGTAGAACAACTCTACTATAAAATTATTTCCTCTATCATTATGACACAGAGAGACAATGGTAATTGCTTCTTTCAAATTAATAACATTGGGAATTAATTATAAGACAAATAATAAAAGAATTAACAACTGTAACAAATTTTGAAATGGTGGGATAATCAATTTTAACGGATCAAAATAATTTATCAGATGATCACAAGATCTGATTTGTGAAAATCATTTTCACTTTTCCAAATATTGATAATTTTGAAATAGTTTTGAAGTGCTGATTAAAATTGTATTTGTGCAGCCCAAGGCATCATTATATTGAATAAACAGAAAAATAAGCATTAATCTTAATTCTCAAGAAGCTAAAGCATACAGGCAATATTACAAATGCTTCTACATTGAATCTACTAATTTTTTGTGCACTTTCTTCACTCACACATTTACTCTCTTTCTTTCCAAAATCATTTCTTGCTCTCTTGTCGGACATACCAATAAAACACATATTCCATTAAACAATGCACTCCTAACCATGTTCTCTTAATATTTTTATTAATCTCACACAAAACATTCTAGCTTTCTTTTTAGCTTTTTTCACAAATTTGCATACCAACATCTGCATTCATATCTTATCACTCATGATAAAAAACTTCCACTCATTTATGATGATGAATTTCTAAACAACGATTATTTTGCACACATTTACTCAAAACATTCAGCAAGAATTAACTACATGAAAAGTAATATAGCAATACAATTTTACTATAGCAGGTTTTAGTTTTGTTTATTGCCTACTTCTTCAAGCGTAACTGTACATAAGTAGCCACTATACTATACAAGGATAGGCACTGGATATCCCAATGATTTTGAAAAATCACAAAAAGCACACCTCACATTTTCATGCTATTATTTACCCTAGGCAGCATGCTTGATGTCGACAAAGTATTAGCTTTCACCATACAGATCAGTTAGAATGATATGCCACTTGAATTTAATTCAAGGGCTGTGCACCCACAGTCACCACTAATGGAGAACAAGACAACAGTAATGCTGGTATAAAGCAAGACAGTTTCAGGAGAAAGGGAAATTCTCAAAACTTTTCTGCACACTTAGGAGACAGAAATGGTGTCTTATAGATGCTTTTCTTGAATGATGTTGAGTAGTATAAACTTGGGTGTAGACTGAGTTCATACTCAGACAAAAAGAGTAACACTCATGATCAGTAACAATATTTTTGTTAACTTTTTGTGTGAAATTGAAGGAGAATGAAATGATATTATCATCATGAAATCATATTATCCAATAGTTGTAACTCTAAAGATCACAGTGAATTCAGATATGTATGTTGTTTCTTAAATATATTTTCTTGTAAATAAAAATTTTGCTCTGCTGATGGTTCTTGAATACATTTAACTTGGGAAAAGTAAGAAATTAATGTAACTAAATGCATTAAAACATTTTTTGATCACCACAATAAAACAATTTTTTTTAATACAAATTTTTTATGACATGTTTGTTGTGAACAACAAACTTTAACATTCTCCCTCCTAAATGTCACATAACATTTTAACAGCTTTTTTGGTGCTAAATAAATAAAATAAAATAGTATTCAATTCTTTGAAATTGGTAGTGTATAAGTTTTAAGAACAGCAAAGAAATTAAGGGCAAATATTAATAAGCAAAATAAAATGACCTCTATAAATAATTATAAAAATGTTTTATTTACAAAAGAATGTATACTGATTTTTGCTCTCACTTTATTGATCTACCAAATGAAGGGCAAAGGCATAAAAGATATAAACTCTTGAAACTGTAGTTTTTATGATATAGTTTTGGCTCTTCCTATCTGTTGTCCAGGGAATGATAATCAAATAGTTCAATTTATGGCTCATAGTTGACTCTCAGATTATTATGAATTTATTTTATTCACTTAAACCTTCTTGAACCAAAATGTTCATTTGTTTAAATCTCAAAATTGCTTTTGTTATGGTTATCATATTTTACACCGGAACCCTTCAAATAGTCATGTACATGGAAACAAAGTGAACTATCTACAAAATATTTTCTGTTTTCTCTGGTTATTTTTGAAAAATATTTTAGCCATTCCTGTCTCCCATTTTTCTGGCTCACAAACAGCAAATACTAAGCAGTGCTCTAACAACAGCAGCAGCAGCATCAGAGCCAGCAGCAAAGTTTCCAAAAAGTCAGTGCTTACTGTGCGGAGAGGTGGGGTGGAGTGGGTGATGGGGTGGGGTCATATTTCCGGGGACGACCACGAGAAAGATGGCGGCGCTTGACAAACTCTGCATCGTCCACCATCCAGAAGGAGCCAAAGTCGTCTTCATAGCGCACAAAACACTTGTGCAGTGACAGATTGGTGCGGATCGCGTTCTGTATACACAGACCACCAAGAAAGAGAAAAGAGAGTAAAAGACAAAGTTTAAGAGAAAAAAGTAGAGAAAATGGTCAAAGTCTCACTTCTAGCTGCCTTCTCAGCAAGACATATTCGATTTGAAGTACCTGCCATCGCCCGTCCACCCTGCTCGCCTCACACAATGTCATTAGTCTTCATTAATGCTTCTTCATGCTGATTAGGCACACAGAGACACAAGCAGAGAAAGAAAGAAAGAAGAAAAACACATGAAAAACACATATAAATGGAGTAAGACAAGAATATAAAAGGAGATGAAAAAATTCAAATCCAAATGTTTGCTAGAAGGAGCTAGAGACTAAAGTAGTCCGAGACCAACTTGCGTGTCCACCTCAGCTGTGGTATCACATACCCAGTGCTGCATCGCTGTGGTCGTCGCTTGTAAAATTCCACTTCATCCACAGTCCAAACGGCGCCCTTCACGTTCTCCACCCTCATGAAACATTTGTGGAGAGACAGGTTGTGTCGTACTGCATTCTATATGAAATAATACACATACAAGTAAGCAACGCAAACCAAACAAAAATAAAAGAGGAGATAAAAGAAGAGAAAGCATTCATAATATAAGCTGAAAAACAGAGCTGCCACTACACATAGCAATGTTTCATCACTATGATAAAACTACATGATGTACATGCAAAGAGGTTTAAAGGTATTCAGAGTCAGAAGAGCAGTTCTGGAAAGGAAGTGTTCATTAGGAAGTGCTGCATACAAAAGTAGAGTACTAAAGTACAGGTATATTTCTAGTTCTATGCAAAAAATTAAGGTAAAGAACGGCAAAGTTAATAAAAAATTAAAGCATAATGAAATCATGCATTTGAAGTACAATACAAAATTATTCTAGGAAAAAGACAAATTAATGAAAAAAATCTTGTAATTACAGTTCTCGTTCTTTCAAAACTTTTAATATCATATGATTTTTTTTAAATACCCCTCTAATTGACAGGCAGTACTTTTGTGTACTTTATACTTTCCAAATGTTTAAAATGTGTGTGTTTAATATACTATTCATACAATTAAGTTCATAACAAGTATAATTAAGTATGATTGAATTCTTAGTATTTTATACTAATATGAAATATAAAAATGAAACATATTTACCAGGAAATTCAATGTGATGTATATACCCACAAACAATTAAAAAAGTTTTCATATTTTTTGTTTTCCTCTTTTATTCCACTATGAATATGGACTCAAAACAGACATCAAAGTTAGAACAATAGTTACATCACCCAAGAAGAAGGAAGTAATTTGTTTAAAATAATATTCACTATATTCAAATCTCTCGTAACAAAAGAAAAATCTAATGTCCATTATGGAGATAAGACTCCTATTCAACAGCTTACGTTCATGATTATGCTGCTGTGACATATCAAGTGCAGTTTGATAATTAATTCTTGAACTCTTCAAAGAAAATCAAACATATACTTAAACAGATTGAAGTAACCATTGTGGAGTATTGTTTTGGAGGGATATAATTGTCTTGAAGCTGTCTTTTAATCTTAGATGCAATTCACATATTTGGGTGTTTTTGCAAAAGAAGCAAGTAAACAAGAAAGAATCTATAAGACTAAGCTCTTGGCAGTTAACTACTCCACCCAACATATAACAAAAAATAGAAAAACTTCAGAATAAATTATATAGACGTGTTAATTATGAATGTGTTCATTTTGAAACATTTATTGTTTCAACTAGTTTCTTTCATCTGTTGCATATGTGCTAAATAATTTTGGGATAGTGCTTTTTCTATTCACATTAAGTAGTGGTTCTCAAAAGAACTTGTTCATTATTAATAATATATTTTAATGTTCAATAATACATTAAAAATAATTTACATTAGTTACAACATACAAAAATAATCTGTGGGGTGGCAAATCCAAAACAACTTCAGATAACAACCTACTAGGGTGAATATTTAAAATTTTTTCAGGAACAATAAGGTTTAAATCTATTGTCACCACTCTGTAACCTTGTCAGACAGGATAGATCAACAGGGATATGTTTCACACAGTAAATGTTGCATATGTTATGACCTCGTTACAATGTAACAAGTGTTTTAATAAATTTTATTTAAAAAAGGTTTAAAGTTGAAAAATATCTGTTGAAAAGTTAATTATTATGTGTATAAATAATAAAGTATATTTGTATATTTTTATTTAAAAAGTTGCATTCATACATGCAGTGGCAAATCCAGAGATGAATTTTGGAAGGAAAAATTTATTTTTATTCAAAATGTTTTGGTTGAATGTGTCATATTATAGATTATGTAGAATGTCACAGGATAAATTCAGCTCATTTTGCAGTACAATTTTATTCGTTTTAATGTTTATATAAAAATACTTTAGCTTCAAAGCTTCATGACAAGTTAAAATTAATAGTTACTGAAAAGTTTTGTGAGGGTAAATTGCCCTGATCTCCCACCCAGTGGATCCTTGCCTGATATATGTATACCAGAAGTAAGAGACATTAGTGAAATGAATTTACTCCAAAATTTTGAAAATGTTAAAAAACATTAATTTTATAAAAAAATGAATTCTCTTCATTACGGTCATCTCTACTTGAAAAATCATTATAATCATGTTAAAGGCTGTAAAAAAGTTATCAATTAAAGAGCAATCATAATAATTAGGGCCTGGATGTTAAAGACTTAAGTTACAACATACAGGACCTAATGTTTAAAGTATAGAATGGCTCAATATGAACAGCGGAACGATTTTGAAGGCTACGGAAATGCAACATTTTTATGTTAGAAATATGCAAGCATTTATGACCTAAAAAAATATGAAAATATGACCATTAATATGACTTAAAAATTTTTCGGTTGTCTTTTTGTAACCTTCAAAATCTCCCCGCTATTTAAATAACCATTACGACTTTTAAAATCTAGCACATTCACTATTCATACCTTTTGCTACATGTCCGTGAGGTTCAGGTTAAGTACCCACAAAATTAAAATATTGGTTTAAAATTCAAGGGACTGTGACATCAGCCAGATTGATCGGGAGAATATCAATTTTGGAGAAAATCAGATGAACAGGTTAGCCGCTAGCGTTGTCGACAGACAGACTCACAGACTGGCAAATAGACGTTTTGCTGTCATTCGATTTTTTATATCAAGGACCCACAAAACATTGATTCTGGCTACCCCATGTGATAGAATACCTTTTTTCTAAATTTAGCAACTGGATCTACTTTTTTTGCTACCAGGGCCCTGTAATAAAAGTTCTTCTGCCAAAAATTTGCCATTTTTTCATGCAGCATTACATAACTTTCTCTCTACCCCACAGTGAGAAAGTAAAATAGAAAGAAATAAGATAACAATTAAAAGATTTGAAAAATCTCTTTCAGATGACTGCAAGGAAGTAAGCGTAAATGGAATCAAAAAATAAAAATATGACAAATAATACGAAAAATATGACCATAATATAAAAAATTAACTGAAAATTAGGGTTAAAAAAAGGCAAAATATGACTTTATATGACACGTGAAAATTGCATAATTTAGGTCATTGTAGACAATATCATGTTTGTCTTATATTTTCCATGGAAATAATGCAAAGAAAAAAAATATCCGGGCCCTAATAATAATTGTGTAAAATATTCAGAAAAATTCTGCTTTGATAGATATTATTTTTTTCATCTTTCCTGGATTCAACAATTTGAAATCAACATTTATATTCTGTGTAGTGCAAATGTATTACAATTTGAACCATGGCTTGTTCAACAACCTAGCATTATAGTTTGTAACTGATGTAATTGAAAAAAAAAACACAACAAAATGTTATTCCAGATCAAAATACTTTTACTTACATTCTTTGAAACATATGATATTAAAGAGTATACAAGTAGGGTTTGAAAATATCATTGAAAAACTGAATATTTTCACTTTCCTTTAATTGCAAGTGAGTATATAATTACATGAATAATAAT